GGGGCCCCGTGGAGGCCGGCGGGGGGCCGGGGGCCGCGCGGGACTGCACCGCACCGGGGGCTGTGGCGCGCGGCCCGGCCCCACCGCGCGCTCCCGTGCCGTCTTTGGGCCTCCACGTGCCCGAGCTGCCTTTTTACACAGCCCTGCATGTCACCTCCCGCGGTAGGTCCTGTCTCCCTGGCCCCAAATAAACTGACCAACAACCCGGCTCCGTGTGCTGCTCCGCGCTGCACCATGCGGCCCCGTGCCGCTCCGCGCTGCGCCGCTCCACGCCACGCTGCGCAGGGGCTGCAGCCCCATGTCTTGGGGGACACGACAGCGGGGTGACCCTGTCTGGGTGCCCCAGGGCCCCAACCCTGCAGTGACAGGAGTTAAATGTCCGCACCCAACGGGGATGGGGGTCTGGGTGCTCCCCTGTGGGCACCCGCAGGAAGAAGCAGCAGCCTCAGCGGCACCGCGCRGCTTTTATTGAGCCCGGCGTTGGTCCCGGGGGCACCGTGTGGCACCGGCCCCAGGGTCACCGCTTGGCACCGKCCCCGTCGCTGTCCCGGTGGTGGCCGCCCGGTCACTCCTGCCAGTAGGTGCCGTTGTAGGTGAAGGGCCCCGGGGAGACGCAGGGCCCCGCGCTGGCGGGCGTCCAGCGCTGGATGTGCACGCGCGCCGCGGCCGCGGCCAGGGGCCGCACGATGACGGCGCCGCGCGACGCCACCGACGGGTCCTCGTCGAAGAAGTTGAAGGGGCGCAGGAAGAAGCCCACGGCGTTGCCGGGGGTGGCCGTGTTGGGGACGTCCTCGGCGTGCGGGATGTGCAGGAAGCCGACGGTCACCCAGGCCACCAGGTCCTGCCGTGGGGACCGCAGCCGTGGGCCGGCTGTGCGCGCGGGGGACACCCACAGCCTGGCCCTGCTGCCCTTGCACTGCAACCTGCGCTGCAACCTGCACTGCGACCCGCACTGCGCACTGCACTGCAATCGGCACCTCAGCCTGCACTGCATCCCGCACCTCCCACTGCATGGCACCCACCCTGCAGCCCRCACTGCAACCCTCACAGCACCCCACACTGCACCCTGCACTGCACCCCACACTCCACACTGAATGGTTCCCAGCCTGCACCCCACACTGCAACCTGTACTGCACCCTAACCTGCACTGCACCCTGCACTGCACCCCACACATCACGCTGCATGGCACCCACCCTGCAGCCCACACTGCACCCTAGCCCGCAGTGCACCCTGCACTGCATGCCCCGCACCCCTGCCTGCAGCAGGGTCCCCCCCAGACCCCCCAGACACTCGGCTCTCCCCTGGTCCCCACGCGCCCCCCGGCCCCACCTGGTCCTCGATGCTCTCGTTGTCGCGCACGAAGCTCTCAAAGTCGACCACGGGCTCCCAGGGGTCGTTCTGGGCGTAGATGCTGCTGCTGGTGGCCTCATTCTCGTGGTGCCGCGTCACGGCCAGGTGGTACCTGCGCAACCGGCACGGGGCTCAGTGCCCACGGGCATCCCTCATCCATCTCCAGCTTGGCTCCCTGGCAATTGGCACATGCGGAGACCAGACCCGGGCTGCAGCGCGAGGCGGGAGAGGTGCCCGGAGGGGCCGGGCGCCCGCGCTCACCGTCCCCACGCGATGCCCCTCTCCTCCTTCCAGCCGCGGGGCAGCACGCGGCCCGCGTGCGAGCTGGGCTGGATGCGGTAGCTGCGGCGGTGGCCCCAGCGGTTGCGCTGCCGCGGGTTGGAGAAGAGCAGGTAGCGGGGCAGCGCCTGGCCCAGCGGGAAGGCGGCCTGGCGCTCGCTGCGCCGGGGCTGCCGCTGCAGCCGCGGCTGCACCACGCGCTCGCCCGGCCTCCAGGGGTTGGAGATGTTCTCCAGCTGCAGCTCCAGCGTCTCGAAGCTGTTGCCGGTGCCTGCGGGCGAGAGGCCGTGAGCGGCGCGCGGGGCACCGGGCCGCGGCGCGCGGCGGCGGGGACGGCACCTGCGACGTCCAGGTCCACCTTGTAGTGCACGAGGTGCGTGTGCAGGTTGCCCAGCACGTGCGCGTGCACGCGGCTGCCGTAGCGGCGGCCCTGCGGCGTGTAGAAGGTGGCGTGGATGTAGCCGGTGGCGTGCACCTTGGCCTCGAGCACGCCGTTGGGGTAGAGCAGCACGTCCCAGATGTAGTCGTAGTTGTAGACGGTGGAGGTGGTGCGCAGCACCAGCGCCTGCCCCTCCAGCGCCGCGTAGAACTGGTAGGCGCCGCGGAAGTCGCTGTCGAAGTGGCGCCGCAGCGGGACGCCCGTGGGCAGCTCGAAGACGCAGAGCGCCCGCGCGAAGCGCACGGGGCCGTCGGCGTCGTACAGGTGGTGCACGTCCACGAAGGTGGCCGCCTCAGGGCAGTCGATGCCGCGCGCCAGCTCGTACGTGACGGAGCCCATGCCCCAGCCGGCATCCAGGAACTTGGTCTGCATGCCGGCCGGCGAGTGGCCGCCGTAGAAGGCGGCCGCCTCCTGCACGCTCAGCTCGTAGGCCACGCGCTCGCCGTTGAAGCGCACGTCGAAGAGCTGCAGGCCGGCCGAGGAGCGCACGCGGAAGGCCAGGCTCCAGCCGCCGTACTCGAGGCGGTTGCCGCGCAGGCGGTAGCGCCGGCCCTGCGGCTCGCACACCTTGGCGCCGTGCACGTCGGTGGCGGTGCCGGTGGTGAAGCGCCCGCGGGGCACGTAGCTGGAGAAGAGCGGGGCGGCGGGCGGCGGCAGGCGCGCCGCGGGCAGCTCGCCGCGCTCGTAGCGCCGCGCCAGCTCCTCGGCGCTCGCGTAGTAGTGCCCGTGGTACCAGAGGCGCTGCACGGCCCAGCGGCGCGGGTCGACGGCGCTGTGCTCGATGAGCACCTCCAGCCCCACGGGGTGCAGGAAATGGCCCTCCACGAAGCGCTGCAGCATGAACCACGTGCGGCGCTCGCCGGGYGCCTGCCCGCGCGGCGCCACGTCCGCGAAGGTGAGGCAGCGCTCGCTGCAGTTGTGGTGCCAGAAGCCGGTGGTGTCGCGCAGCAGGCGGTACAGCGGCGCCGTGGCCTCGGCCAGCTTGCGCTGCAGCAGCTCGTACTCGAGCGCCGTGACGGGCCGCGCGGCGAAGGGCACCGCGCGCCGCCCCTTGTGCCGCAGCGGCCGGTAGGCGCTGGGCCGCGGCAGGGGCCCCACGGCGAACTCGGTGACGTTGGGCTCCGCCTGCGCCCCGAAGAAGACGACGGCGCGCGCCTGGCGCCGCGGCGCAGGGCCGCCCTGGTCCAGGTAGCGCAGCGCCAGCCGCTTCTTGGGCGGCAGCAGCTCCACGAGGAAGAGGCTGTTCTTGGCCAGGGGCTCCCCGCGGCCGGGCGCCAGCGCCAGCTCGGGGCGCCCCAGGAGGAAGGCGCGCACGGCCCGCAGCTCCTCGGCGCTCAGGTCCGCGAAGATGGCGGCCTCGGGCGGGGGCGGCTCGGGGACCGTCCCCGCGGGCAGCGCCGCCAGCACCGCGGCCAGGGCGAGCGGCCACATCCTG